TTATTTTCTAATTCTGTTTCAAGAAGTCAACAGAATTCCATAGTTCTAATTTTACAGGCACCTGATAATTCAACACAACTACAAGAAACACAAAAGTATGGAGGTTGTCCATATTCAACTGGATACTGCATGAATTTTTTAGTTTTTATTCATTCAACACATTTTTATTGAGTTCCCACTATGTACAAGTTACTGTAGGGATACAACAATGATTAAATATTCATGACTTCAAATTATTTAGCTCATATAATTTAGTCTTTCCCAAGTAAAAAAAAGCAAAGTGGTTTTGGCTTTGTCCTTGGGGGACATTTGTTCCAATTACAAAACCAATACCCAACACCACTGAAGAGTTCGGAACAATGTTCCTGGAAAAGTAGAGGATACCACGTGTCTAACAAAATCCACTGGCAGCTCCCCCGCAGAGTGTACTTGTGCAGAATTTGTCCATGGGCTGCCCGATTCCACCCATTTCTGTAGGTTTCTAACTCCCAGAAGCATTAAATATTTACTAGGCTAAATAATTTATAGAATACAAGCAAGACTATTTAGATAAAACATCTAGAAAAGGAAACAGTGATTACAAAGAACCAGCATGGTTTCATCAAAAACAAGTCATGACAGACTAAAATCATTTTCCTTTTTTGACAAGATTACTAAACCAGGAAATAAGGAGCATGCTGAGAAAATAGCTTACCTAGATTTTGGCAAAGCTTGTGATAAAGCATTATCAATGCTTTTCTTGTGGAGAAGATGGAGAGATAGATGAGATTTTCAACTCTCCCATTCTCCCTCTGCCAAATCTAATGGAACCCCTCTGTCCCTTTCCCCTTATCTCTTTGCTCCCATCCTGTCTCCAACAGATTGTCCCTAATATCATCCCCACTCTCTCTTTCATCTCTCCTTTTCTAATAGTTACTTTTCTGCTGCCTACATTATCCCCCATCCTTAAAAAAAAATTCTCATTTTATTCTACCTTACCCACTAACTGTTGTCCTATCTCTCTCTTCACCTCTGCAGCTAAATGAGAAAGCTATCTTATTCAGTTGCTCCACTTTCTCCTCTCTTTCTTTCTCCCTTTCTCTCCATCTCTCTCTCCCCCTTCTCTCCAATCCTCTGCAATGTAGCTTCTGACCTCATCATTCAATTTCATCTATCTACTCTTTCCAGAATTACCAAGGCTCTCTTCATTTCTTTTTTTTTAATCCTCTACATCCTTGAGCTCTATGTAGCATTTGACCTTGTTGATCACCTTCCTCTTCTAGATACTGTCTTCTGGTTCTCCCCCACCCCACAACTCTTTCATCCAGGCCATGCCAATTTACTGTAGGGGTTTCTCAGTGCTCTAACCCGGGCCCTCTTCTCTTTTCCCTCTATACTACCTCACTTCATTGTCTCATTATCTCCATGCGTTCAATTATGTCAATGCAGATGATTCCCTGATCCACATATCCAGTCTTAGTCTGTCTCCTGAGCTCCAGTCTTATATCATCAGTTCCTTTTGGCCATCTTCACTGGATCCCCAGTAGTTATCCTAAACCCAACATGTTCAAAACACAATTCATTGTTTTCCCACTAAAATCTTCCCTTTTCACCTTTCCACTTACTATTGCTGGCACCCTGCTCCCAGTCATTCAGGCTGGAAACTTCAGTGTCATCCTTAACTCCTGAATCTCATATAGATGACAAGTCCTATCTGTGGTCAAATCCTGTCATTTCTACCTTCATGTAATTTCTCATTTATATCCCTTTCATGCCACTCACAAAACCATCACAGGCCCTCATCACCTCTTGCCTAGACTATTGTAACAGTCTTTTAACTCATCCGCCTTCCTTAAATCTCTTCCCCCTTCAATCCATCAATCTACTCAGCTCTCAAAGCTATTTTCCTAAAGCACATCTGAATTATTTCACCTCTCCTCCCCAATCAATGAGCTGAAGTGGCTATCTATTATCTCTAAGGTTAAATGTAAAATCTTCTGTTTGGCATTTAAAGCCCTTCACAACCTGGCCCCTTCCTAGATTTCCAGTCTTCTTACATTTTACTCCCCCAAATTACATAAAAATTACATTAGGGTCATGAATCTTCTGGGTCTATTCCTGAAGTGTCACTGACATGGTCAGCAGTATTCCTAGAAAAAGGCTCTAAGTGGCATTGGGTATAAACTTAGCCATTTACTAGTCAATATGACAGCTAATGAGCAGGATCAGAGGTTAAATATTGAAAAAATAAATCATGGCAAAAACCACTTCTCGTATTGACTAGTGTCTACTTTTGCATTATTTAAAAGTTAAATGAAAAACAATCTGCCTCCAATGAAAATAAGGGCAAATGAGCTATTACTATCACTTTTCTCAAACCATTTAACCACTAGTAACAAAAACAGTTGAAATGCAGGGCAGTCATAAGCTGACCCAGCACTAAGGCTAAGGTATAATCACAATGAACTTGACAGCCACGGAACAAACCTAGGGGTACACAGTCACCTCAAGAAAGTTCCTTTGTTAGCTCCCATATCTTCCTTGGGAAGCATGGCATCTAGGGTTGCCTTGGGACTTATAAACTGCTAAGATATAGCATAGAGGCAGCTAGGTGGCAGGCACAACAAACAGAATGCCAGGTCTGGAGTCAGGAAGACCAGAGTTCAAATCCAGCCTCAGACACTTACTAGCTGTGTGACCCTGGGCAAGTCACTTAACCTTGTTTGCCTATTCCCTCATCTGAAAAAATGAGCTGGAAAAGGCAATGGCAAACCACTCCAGTATCTTTGCTAAGAAAACTCCAGAGGTCATGAAGAGTCAGGCATGACTGAAACAACTGAACAACAACAACAAAAGATGTGGCATCACCCACCACATGGACCAAATTTTGCATTTATGTGTATATGTGTGTGTGTGTGTGTGTGTGTGTGTATACACACACACACACATACATATATACACACACACACATATATATCTATTAACTTTATATGTATATATCTTTATATTGCATTTATATATAGTTTGTTTGTAGATGTTATTTGCATGTAGTCTTCCCCCATTAAACCGTGAGGGTCTGGTTTTTATTTGTATTTCCGGTGCTTGGCACAGTACCTGGCACGTAGTAAATGCTCAATAAATGCTAGTTGACTGCATGCCTGACTGACTGCAAAGACTAAGACCTCAACCTAAACAAGAGCATTTATTTACATGCAAATAACATCTACAAACAAGCTATATTCAGAATAAATTGGGAGAGAAGGCACTACAACTAAGTAAGAAAGACTTCTTGCATAAAATGAGACTTTAGCTGAGGCTTAAAGAAAGCCAGAAAAATCAGGAGGAAGAGATCTGAGCAGGGGGGAACAGCCAGTAAAAATCCTCAGAACTGAGAGCTGTAATTTGATATTCAAGGGACAGAAAGGAGGCCAGTGTCATGCAGAATAGGGAAATGAATTCTGGAATTTCTGATCTTCATTCTCCCATATTCTGTCACTCTCTCAGGCTGTGATTACTTGGCTTACTGTCTTTTGGTTTGTTTTAGCTATCTTTATGGCTTGGTTTCTCTTCCTTCATTGATGCCTTTGCTAGGCTTCTGGTATCCCCAACGTCAGAGTGGTAGTAACAGTCCTAAAGTCATTTAAGTGGTAGAAGATCCCCTAGACCAGAGGCATCAAACTCCCAACAAAGCTTGAGAGGCCTGGGAACCAGATTAAAATGGAACTGGGAAAAGTTTAACAAAATCAACAAAAATGTGATACAACATAGTATACTTCAGGATCACCTTCTAATTAAGTTTGACATCACTGCCCTAGAAGACCTCTAAAAGTCTGAATGAGGGTGGGAAAAAGTAATAGAGACATCTACCAGCATCCCAGGTATGTGGGTTGGGATAGTTATTTTCCTTAAAAGTTACCGAAATTATTTTTGAGACTTATTTAACCAGAGAACCAAAGGCTGCTAACATCATTCCTTGCTCTCTAAGACAGTAACCAGAAAGAGCACAAAACCCTCCTTGATCTTTTGTCCTGGGCAACAACTCAGAGAAGGGGGAGCTGTCTGCACCTGAATCACAGTGTCCTTGCTAAATAACCTTCCACTGTCATGGCTAAGTAAATCTCTTTGTAAACTGTTCAACGGACTAGGAATGCCTCATTTTTTCCAATCTCAAACTGAAAATATTAGGGCTCTTGTCAGTCCTGGCCTACAATATAGACATATAAAGCAATGACTGATGTTTCCTGTATAACCTACAAACTGCCTCTGAAGGCAATTCTAAACAGATCTTTCAAGTGTTTTAAGTGTTTTCAGCACACAGGAAAAAGTCTGAACTTAATGAGTGTAAGTCTTAGCCGCAGCAGAGGATTAAATAGCTGAACTAGGAATAATAACTAATATCATATAGCTATTTAAGGTTAGCAAGGTGCTTTACACGAATTAGTCATTTATTGGCCTGGGTCCTCCCTATGTTGCCCAGGCAGGAAGTCCAGCAGACATTTGAGCCCAACCTTACTCCTGATCAACAGGGAAGCTCTGACCCACTCTGTGTTTGCCCTCTTACGCAGCCTGGCCCCTCCCCATACAACATCCTAAGGACCCACCATACTGGTGCCAGACAGTGCAAAAGACATATTGGCTTTAGACCAACTGTATTCAGAACTTCCTAGCTCAAGTGATCCATCACCCTCAGCCTCCCCTAGTAGCATGGATTATACATATACACACACACACACACACACACACACACACACACACACACACACGCAGAGTACAAGGTACAGCAGCTCTATATTCACTATTGTCTTCGAACCTTGGGACAATTCTGTGAAATAGTATTATTTATTATTCTTCCTATTTTACGGGTAAGGAAACAAGGCCCATGGTCCCAAAACAAATGTCAAGAAATGGGACTGGAAGCAAGGCCTTCCCATTTTAAAGTCCAGTACTCTATCTTCTATGCCACAATACCCAGATTTTATGCCTAGATATCCCAAAGAGTGAAATGAAAAGCAGAGCCTTACCTGCCTGTGCAGCTGTAATTAGTGCTGTATTCCCCTCGTTGTCTTGCCAGTTTACATCAACATGAGGGCACTCTGCTAAGGCTACTACAACATCCACAAAACCTTGGTAGCAGGCAACAATAAGGCCAGTCTATAAATAAAAAGACAGAATTGGGTCAGAGGTGGCAGATTCTTGATAATTGTTTTTCATTAACATTTGTTGTCTCTCTCTCCATTAACTATACTCTCCAAATGCTATAAAAGTCATAGTGATACAGAAATCAGCAACAAACATGCTGAAGACTCGGGCTCAGTACACACAAACTTGGATATTAGGTAAGATCACTACAGGTACAGAAAATGAAATGTGTGTAAAAGTTATCTACAAAATACAGTTACTTGATGTAGGCTATACATTTACATTTTAAAAAAAAGAAAAAAAGAAAATACAGTTACTACAGCAAGATTCCCAACAAGTCTTATTCAACCAGATAATCCAATTAAGGCTCTGGACAATGACAAAAAAAAAATTGGAAAAGGCTATCATAGGCAGCCTCAGGACTCTTGAAAAGATGAGGTAAGATTTTTCTCTAACATCAAATATGTAAAATGTCAGAGAAGCTTGCTTGCAGAACTTTCAAACTTCTGAGTGCTAGAAGAAGCCAGCATATGCCAGCAATCATTTCCCACTAATATTTTCAACAAAAAAAGTGGCATGATCAGAAGTCACTATGCTTGAAATACTGACAGGTAGCAAGCAATACGCCCGTCTCTTTATGGAAAAATTTCCCAGCCACCATGATCTCCCAACCTCCCACTCTAACAATTATCTGTTTCTCTGTCAGTAATTCTCCTTTGCCCCTCTGCCCAACAGAGCAAGCCTTTGGTTAAGCTATAAGTAATTTAAGTAAGTTAAGTAGATTAACTTTAAATAAATTAAGTAGAATAACTCCTTACCACAAAAATGCTGGGGACATGCAATATATAGATAAGCATATTTTGTCAGGGAAAAGTGTTTTAGTCAAAATAAATTTGGTTTGAAGCTAATAGCTCCTTAGGCCTATTCAGTTGGGTTCTAGGGGAAAGTAAATCTTAAACAGAAATTTTAAAAAACTTTGCTTAAGTCTGTTCAAGAATCTCTAATAGCTCCCAAACACCTCTAGGATAAAATAAAAATACCCATTTGGCATTTATAGCCCTTCACAATCTGTCTCCAGTCTACCTTCCCAGGCTTATTAACTCTTTCCCTGTCTCCCTTTACATACTTTACATTCCAACCAAACCTATTCTTCCTTGTATATAACATTCCATCTTACTCCTCCTTACATGCCTATGCACGCATTCTCGCCCTCCTTACCTTTGGCCACTCAGAATCTCTAGATCCTTTCAAAGTCCTACCACCTCAGGTAAAGGCTTTTTAAAAAAAATTTCTCCAACTACCAGGACTCTCCCAAAGTCTATATTTACATATGTAAGATGAAAGGATGGCTCCTTCTGTCTGCTTTGCTAGATCTTCCTCCAGATCAGGCTTCTGTCCTGGGGCCTCCTCTCCTCTCCCTCTATACTATTTCCCTTGGCAATTGCATCAACTCCCATAGATTCAATTACCATCTAGATGCTGATGATTCTCAAATCTATCTATCCTGCCCCAAAATCTCTGCTGATCTTCAATCCTGCATCTCCAACTTCCTTTCAGACATCTCAGACTGGATGTCCAGTAGAGATCTTAAATTCCACACATCCAAAATGGAACTCATTATCTTTCTCCCTAAATCCTCTCTCCACCTCCTGCCTTCCCTAATACTGTAGAGGACAATATCATTCTCCCAGTCCCTCAGGTTCACAACCAAGGAGTCATCCTGAACTCCTCACTCTCTTATCCCTATATATTGTGCATTGCCAATGCCTGTCGATTTCACAAATGTGCCCGCTTGTCTCCTCTGCCACTTCCACTACTCTAGCAAGCCCTTATCACCTCACACCTAGACTACTGCAGTAGCTTGCTGGTGAGGCTCCCTGCCTTAAGTCTCTCTTCACTTCAATCCATCCTCCATTCAGTCACTAAACTGATTTTCCTAAAGTGCAGGTTCAGTCATGTTATTCCCCCTACTCAATCAACTCCAGTGACTCCTTATGGCCTCCAGTATCAAATACAAAATGTTCTATTTAGCGTTTAAAGCCCTTCATAACCTAGGCTGTTCCTTCCAACCTATGCAATTTTCTTACACCTCACTACCCACCATATACTTTCTGATCCAGTGACACTGGCCTCCTTGGCTGCTCCACTCCATCTCTTAGTGCTTGGCATTTTTGCTGACTGTTTTCCTATGCCTGGAATACCCTCCTCTCATCTACTGTGCCTACTGACCTCCCTGGCTTCCTTTAAGTCCCACCTAAAATCCCATCTTTTAATATAAGTCTTCCCTAAGCCCTTAATTCCAGTACCTTCTCTCTGTTAGTCATTTCCTATTTATGTTGCATATAGCTTGCTTTGTATATATTTGTTTGCAAGCAATCTCCTCCATTAGATTGTAAACTCTGTGAAGGCAGGGACTTTCTTTTGCTTTTTTTTTTTTTTGGTATACCCAGCACTTAGCACAGTGCCTGGCACTTAGTAGGCACTTAATAAGTGTTTAATAATTGGTTGTTTAGTTAGCTTTAGCAATACGAGAAGAAAAAGAAATTGAAGGTATTAGAATAGGCAAAGGAGAAACAAAGCTATCATTCTTCGCATATGACATGATGATATACTTAGAGAATCCTAGAGAATCAAGTAAAAAACTACTTGAAATAATAAACAACTTTAGCAAAGTTGCAGGCTATAAAATAAACCCACATAAATCATCAGCATTTCTATATATTACCAACAAAGCCTAACAGCAAGAGATAGAAAAGAGAAATTCCATTTAAACTTACTGTAGACATAAAATATTTAGGAGTCTACCTCCCGAAACAAACCCAGGAACTCTATGAACACAATTACAAAACACTTCTCACACAAATAAAATCAGATCTAAGCAACTGGAAAAACACCAGCTGCTCATGGGTAGGCCGAGCTAATATAATAAAAATGACAATCCTAAGCTAATTTACTTATTCAGTGCCACACCAATCACACTACCAAAAAATTATTTTATAGAGTTAGAAAAAATATTTAAGAAGATTCATTTGGAAGACGAAAAGAAATACAGGGGAAGGTGGCCTAGCAATTCCAGATCTTAAATTGTATTATAAAGCAGCAATCATCAAAACTACTTGGTACTGGCTAAGAAATAGTGGTGGATCAGTGGAATAGGTTAAATATGTAAGACATAGTAGTCAATGACTATAGTAATCTATTACTTGATAAACCCAAAGACCCCAGCTTCTGGGACAAGAACTCACTCTTTGAAAATAACTGTTGGGAAAACTGGAAAAGAGTATGGCAGAAACTAAGCATAGACCAAAATCTCACACCATATACCAAAATAAAGTCAAAATGGGTTCATGATTTAGATATAAAGGCTGATACCATAAGCAAACTGGGAGAGCAAGGAAGAGCTTACCTATCAGATCTATGGAGAACAGAAGAATTCATGACCACACAGGAGATAGAGAACATTATGAAAAGTAAAACAGATAATTTTGATTACATTAAATTGAAAAGGTTTGGTACAAACAAAACCAATGCAACTAAAATTAGAAGGAAGGTAGAAAATTGGGAAAGAATTTTTCCAACCACTCTCTCTGATAAGGACCTCATTTCCAAAATATATAGAGCATTAAGACAAATTTATAAGAATACAAGCCATTCCCCAATTGATAAATGGTCAAAGGATATGAACAGACAGTTCTCAAATGAAGAACTTAAAGACATCTATAGTCATATGAAAAAATGCTCTAAATCATTATTGATTAGGGAAATGCAAATCAGAACAACTCTGAGGTACCATATCACACCTATCAGATTGACCAACATGACAAAACAGGAAAATGATAAATGCTGGAGAAGATGTGGGAAAATTGGAACACTAATGCATTGTTGGTGGAGTTGTGAAATGATTTCAACCATTTTGGAGAACAATTTGGAACTATGCCGAAAGGGCTATAAAAATGTGCATACTCCTTTGACCCAGCAATAGCACTTAGGCCTATATCCCAAAGAGATCATACAAATGGGAAAAGGACCCACATGTACAAAAATATTCACAGCAGCTCTTTTTGTGGTGGCAAAGAATTGGAAATTGAGAGGATGCCCATCAATTGGGGAATGGCTGAGCAAGTTGTGGTATATGAATGTAATGGAATACTATTGTGCTATAAGAAATGATGAACAGGCTGACTTCAGAAAAACCTGGAAAGACTTGTATGGTCTGATGCTGAGTGAGCAGAACCAAGAGAACCTTGTACACAATAACAGCCACGTTGTGCAATGACTAATATAGATAAACTTAACCCTTCTCTGCAATACAAGGATCTAAGACATCCCCAGAGGCCTCGTGATGGAAAATGCTATCCACATCCAAAGAGAGAACTATGGAAGTGGAATCGCTATCATTTTTTTTCCTCTTCTGTTGAGTTATGTTTCCTCTTTCTAATGGTTCCTCCTATTGGTTTTAATTTCTACTTACAACTTCACTAATGTGAAAATATGTTTAATAGGAATGTAAATATATAGCCTACATGAGATCGTGCGCTGTCTTGGGGAGGGTGGTGGGGGGGAAGGGGGAGAAAAATTTTAAACTCAAAAGCATATGGAAGTGATTGTTGATAAATCAAAATAAATTAATAAAATTTTTAAAAATAATTATAATTGGTTGTTTAAGGGTATTTTTGCTCATCTAGCATAGGACTTGACAAATAAGTGTTTAACAAATCAATCAATAAGTAATCAAAAAGGATTTATCAAATATCCACTATGTGCCAGGCACTATTCCTTTGTACTAAAGACACAAACACAATGGATGAAACAATTGTTACCTGTTGGGAGCTTATAGTCTAATGAGGAAGACAAATAAATAGGGCATATAGTACAGAAGAAAGACAACCAGTTACTGAAAAAAAGACAGGAAGGTTGCTGGATAAATGCAAAGACTCTGGAACACTCCTTAGCCAAATGAGAAAGTGAAACCAACTCTACACCTGCTTAAGTGATGAATCCCACGAAGTGTA